TTGATAACTAAAATTGTAATTTATATATAATTTTAATATATATAAAAAAATCCGGTAATTTAATGTAGTTTAGTGTAGATTAAGCCAGTTTTCTAAAACTATCTGCTTTTCAGATGCTAACGGATAATCTGTAAAGAAATTGTGCAAGTGCACTAGGGCTTCTAAATCAACTTCTAGTGTATAGCCTATTTCTGCATCTAGTGCTATGCTTTGGATATCTGGTATTTTTCCTGGTGCTACTTTACCTAAAATTTTTATAGGCATGTATTGGATCATTGCACCTGAATGTAAAGCATTTATATTCTCATATATGATCCAAGAATTCAGCTTGCTAGATTTATAGTTTAGACATTGTGGATTATTTGCTTTAGCGTATCGATGATTTATCATTGTCATGCCTTCACAAATACCATTTCTACTATTAGATATTCATCCATATTTGTTATGAGTTTGAGTTCTACCTCGCTACTTTTGTAAAGAAAATCATTAAACATTTCAGGTGTTGAAACATAATGAGAGAGATCTAAGCCGTCATTTTTCAAACACATAATAGTGTAATTCATGAAAACATTTGCAAGTAAAAGTACATCTGTCTCAAGATAAAGATTATGATATTCTCTAAAATTCTTCATCTCGAATATTTGTCATATCTTTTGAGCATGTTCATAATCCTCTTTACTAATATTTTGCTAACTAAAAAGTGAATAGAAGTTCTTTCTAGACAGGAGGCTTATTCTGTCGAATTTTTCTCATGTATTTATCCAGTTGTATAGGAAAACACCCTTTTGAAAAAGAAGCTTAATCTTATCTATTGAATAGCTTTTCTCAGTAAAGTACCCAACAGTTAGAGTAATTTTTCGAGCTTTCTTCCTAGATATTCTATTAATTTATTTAATTCCATTCTATATACTGAAAGCTATCAAAAAATCAGAGTTGGCCAACATCCATAGCTTTGTAATTTCTTATATTCTTTGGGATGCAATTTAGCTTATCAGCTGTGAACTTGCTCATAACTTTTATAAGCGGATAAGAGTCATATTCCTGGAAATTATGATATATAAGAGGCACTTTGGTTTTGAAAGAGTTTATTCACAATTTTTTGTTACAAGAGTCATAAGCTAAACCTCAGTATTTTCTATTTATATGATAATGATCTTTTACTTTTCGATTAAGTGCACTTAAAGCTTCTCAATATCTTTTCTGTACCTCTTTCTTTTTGAATATTCTTTTT